AATTTCTAAAAAAAAAAAAAAATGTGACAAATTCCCGACAGTAAACTGCTGCTGCATTCTATTTATGATGTACTGACACAAATTTCAAATGATTTTCAACGGTCGCTTTGTCACGTCCAGTGTAGACAGACTTTAGCTGTCGCGGCGCGACACGACAACTGTCATGTCCGGTGTAGACACGGTGAGTGACTGTTTCATCAGAAGTAACCTGCACTGTCTTGTCTGTCGGCACGTTGTCAGTGTCCTTTTTGCTCTGTGCTTGTCGGATATAGCAACAGTAACTAAGGAGGGTGGGTCTTTGTGAAGGGTTAATTCTGTTATAAATGAGTCACTGAATCATTCACTCATTCTATTTGATCAAAAACACTAAATCATTCAAGAGTGTAACTACTGTGTTTTGCAACAGTTCTGATTTTGTGATAATAGTGGGATCACATTCATGCTGATATATGGCCATAATGCACTCTTGTGTGATATTACTTTATAATAATAATTATTATGCAATATACTTTGTAGTAATAATGCAATATACTTTAATAAATAATTGTATATAATTAAATATTTATATATTTAATTATTATGTTAATATAATTAATATAATATTGGGTAACACTGTAGTATAGGGACCAATTCTCACTATTAACTAGTTGCTTATTAGCATGCCTATTATTAACATATTGGCTGTTTATTAGTACTTATAAAGCACATATTCTGCATGACCATATTCTACATCCCTAATCCTACCCAATACCTAAATTTAACAACTACCTTACTAACTAATAAGCAGCAAAGTAGGAGTTTATTGAGGCAAAACCATAGTTAATAGTTTATTAAATGTGAGAATTGGACCTTAAAATAAAGTGTGACCTAATATTGTATAAATATGTATAATTGTTGTACAACACTTTGAAAGCGTATACAGTAAACTCTGCCAGATTTAATCTACAGGCATGTCGATGTTGCTGGCCACTAAAGCTGCACTGTTCTTCTTCCCACCATTCCATCCACAAACCTCTGCAGTCGCATACTCTATTTAGTGTCCTATTAATCATCCACTGACATAACAGCTGTATATGTGCCACAGTGTGAATTGTCAGCCCTTAGCACAGTGTAGGTTCAGTCTGTATGTCATGAATAATGCATGACACATCACGGCCCCTGAGTTTTCGTTACTGATACTCTGCAAGAGTTTAAAAGACTTTTCAAAGCAGTGCATGGAAAGTAATAATGGAAACTGTAGGTAGAGGATGAATTAAAGTTCATCCGTCTTGCTGTCTGTAAATAACAAAACAAAAAATAAAAATGAATTAATGCTACATTTTAATTACCTGCACTAAGCAGAATCTGTGAAAAGAGGCATTAAACACAATCTGTTTGCATGTGTGCCTTCACTGAAATGATAGAGAAAATAATGCTGCTTATCCTGACACTAATTCAAGTAATGACACTGCACTTAACAGTCAGGGACTTGAACCTTTGCCCCCCTATAGTTGAAGTGTGGACAAGCCCAAAGCTATGCAGTCTATCCTGGGAGTCGTAAACTCAGGGACCTCAGCTAGCTTGAGAAATCTCATACTATCAAGTTCCCTCCTTCTTATCCACAGCCATGCTGCAAAACAAGATGAAGCAACTGGCCTCTGCATGTCAATAGCTCAAAGAGCTCTCGCAGCTGTTCCCTTCACTAGTTGTGTTTGCTTTGTTACCATGGTCGCAGATGGGTGTGAATATTTGGGTTTTATGGTAGACTTTATGCTATATTATGATGGACACATTTAGATTGAAAACTGATCAGCTTTGTGTACAGTAGATTGACTAAGTGACCTTATTGTTAGGTTTATATGCCATAATAGTATATAGTATAAATGTAGTATACACAGTAAACAGTAAAGTGAGTTGAGTGTGAGAAGTTGTAAACAAGTAAAAAAGGTGAACATGAAAAAAATCAAAAGGTGAAATGGTGTTTTAAATGTAGATGAAAATCACTTGAATAATCTATTGCTGTTTAATGGAGGAAGATCAGCAACCTATCCCACTTCAGACTTCTTGACCATCTTTGCAGTTTTCAGCAATTAAAACCATACATCTGTGTGTTTTTTTTATGTTCACTTAGATATCAAATGATATTCACTTTTTGAGATTTTTATATAACAAATATCAAATTTAGCTGTGTATTTTTTGCACAAATTTTAGAATTATTTACATATAAATAAATATATAAAAAAAATATTGGTAGTTCTGTATGTTGTTTCAGGGTTGGCATCATCTGAGGTCCTCTGAGGGGTTGGCATCATCTCTTCTCAGGTGTTCTGGATCCAGACTGAAGCTTGTGTAAATCCTAGTTGCAGAAACAGAGAAACAAATAGAGACATAATTAGCGTAGCTGCTGTTCCAACCAAGCAAATTCTGTGTACTGCTTTTTGGTCCAATAAGTAATATCTTATGTTACTATATATATATATATAGTATATTTATATATTTATATATTCATATATGTATATTGTATATATACAATTTACAAGTGTACAATATATTTTGGTAGACAAAGTGAGAAAACAGGAAATCTAGTCTGCTCTATCAAGCTAATGTTTTTTTTTCTTCCAAAATGGTCTCCAGGTCAGTGTGCTCCTCTCCTGCTCTTGATGAGAACAATGTGAGATGTTCAGTCATCTCTCTAGCACTGGTATATGAAATGCCCATATTCTTCTAGAAGCTTCATCTGAATATTCCACTTTGAGCGTGAGGCTCCTGGTAAGGAGGCATGGCAGTAGGATTTGTCAGTTATTGGAAAAAGCTGAGACCTGTGTAGCGTCAGTATGGACTAAATCAGCAGCTGTCATTGCTAGTAATCCCCCCTCTCTTTTTGCTGGGGCCCAGGGTCAGCACCGTACAAAGGGCCTGACCTACAACAGTCAATGGAGTAGGGGCCTAGCAGGACAGAATAACGTGCTGGGTCAAAGCTGACTCATCATAGATCCTGGAAGCAGCCCTCAGCTGACTGCAGAGAAGACAATACTGTTGTAGAGTTATGTAATACACCCGCTAGCTGTGAGGATGTACTCAGGCATTTCACATTTCAGTGCCTCATGTTATCTTTCAGTTGGCGAAATAGCAACCCTCAGGTTAAAAAATAAGATAAGATCTTTCAGCATAACAACTCAAAGCACACTAGCAAAACAACTAAGCAGTGGCTGACAGGGAGGAATATGAATGTTCTTGAGAGGCCTAATCACTACACTGACCTGAATCCAGATTTAAACTTGAAACTCTCTGAACAACTTATGTCTAAATGTCTGTAAGGTTAGAAATATAATAATTCAAATATATGCTATAACGAGTTAATAATACTTATTTCAAAATAAATTGAAATTAACTACAGTAATATGTATTATTTTACACAGTTAATTTAATTAGTATTCACTATAGTAAATTTGAATGTATTTATATAAATTTAGGTTAATAATAAATGAATAAATTTTCATATGATCTTATTTTCTTTTTTCCCCACACTTACATATAGCAAGAAGCAATTTGAAAGTAAAACCAGACCTGAGGGCTTTAAAGCAACAAAAATTCTACATTAAAAACTCAAGTGTCTTTTGATAAATGTAGTTCACGAGAAACACATAGAGAGGTGGAGAGACATTCTCCTGACCCCCCAGGCTCTGTCCTGTGCGTGCAAGTCTACATTCTAAAACCCAATCAATAAATAACACACGAATGACGCAACTGCTAATGATTTTCTAAATATGTCACAACTGAGTTGCAAATCAATAATCAGTTTGTGGTCAAAATGAATACGTAACCTCACACTTCACCTCAGGCAATGCAAATACCAATTTAAAAATGGCCATAGATTAATAATATATTGTACGCTAAATAATTTTATTTATTAATTTATTAGCATGTGTGGTGTACAATTCCCCAATTATTATTTTTTTTTATATGTTTTGGCCAGTTTTAACATGAACCTGTTTATGTGTTAGTTTTTTTAAGCAACCCTGCTGGGTAAAGTTTATTACCTCACTTGACCCCAAGGTCACTTCTTGACTTTAGTGCCACCCGATAAGCTGAGGTCAGAAGGTTAGCCCCTCTAAACCAATCTGGCGTCTTGAAGTCGAACACCTTGAGGTTTCAACCTTATCTTGAAATGATCTGCATCTTTAAAGCAACAAGGATGCAAAGTACTAAATGTGAAAAAGAAAAGAAAAAAGAAAGTTTCTTATAGAGAATGGTCTAAATTAGATTTGTATGTACACACTAAATTAACGTGTTTAGTATATGCATATGGAGAAGTTTCACTTAAAACCGTTTTCATTGACTCCATTTGTGTAACAGCTAGAACGGCCTGTGGGGGCGCTGTTGTTAGTGAGGGACCAGTATTGAAGTTGTTTTGAATGTGTCCATATTTCAGGTCTTGCTGACTTTTTAAATTCTTAGCAGCAGACTGTTTGCTTTGATGCACTTTATATCAGCATAGTAAAGACTGATGCAGTCATTATAGTGCTGCTTTGTTATGAATAAAACAGAAGTACAACAGAAATTATGGTTTTTAGACATTTATTTATTTCCAAGGCAGAACTAAGAGAAATTTTAAAACCATTACGAACATACATTTCATTCATTATCTAATGTTCATAATGATCTCTGAAATGAAATCACAATGAAATAAGACAAAATATACCACTGAGACAAAATAAACTCAAGAAATATTGCACTTAATTTCTAAAACATACCATATTTCCACTAAAGGTGTTTCTTGACAAAGTCAAGAGTTTAGCTTTAACACTGGACTACACGGAAGGCCAAGCGTTAGACTATAGTATTGACCAACCACAAAAAGAAGCACTTTTCTCTTTGCGTTTAAGCTTATTCTTTCATTAGTGGCCAATTTTGGTTAAATTCTAAACTATAAAACACAACAGAGAAGCAGATCATTCTCTGCTTCTTATAATCATCTCTTCAGTTCTGAAATGGGTCATCCATTTCTCTGAGGTGTGCTACAGCTATTGTTCCCATAATAATCGAGACAAGAGGATCTGTATAATGGTCGTTTGTCTGGAAAACAAACACTGAATGCCCAACAATAATCATCAGAACTCATATCTGAAAAAACAAATCCAAAACCCATTCAACGCAAAAGTGGCATGATCAACGCACGCTTTGAAGGACTTTTTGGTTTTCCCTTTTTGTCCTTTTAAACTAAACAGTAATCTCTAGGACTGAAAGAAAACAGGATGATGATTATTGAGGATAGCATAAATGATAAAGCATGTTAAGATCAGTTCATCAAGGCCACTATGTTAAGACCACTTTGCTGCCGAATCATAAACCCCCTAACATTACAGATGAACATATAACAAACACGCTGTGTATGCAGACATGAGTAATTCTACAAATTCAAACACTACTTTAACTATCTACATTGGTAATTGTTTAAATTGTTTCTCCAGACCTCAACCAGACATGAGCAGTTTTATTTCAGTAAAAAAAGTGCTTAATGAAGGCCAAGCATGATCAGAGCCTAAACTACTTCTGTAGTTGAATGAGTTTTAAAAACAAATGTACAACTCATTTCAACTGGATTTGGATGTCTCCGGATGTTTTGCTACCCAGCTTGGCTTTTCAAGCATTTGTGCCATCCTTTGGGTCACATCTGGCTTCACCGATCTGAAGAAACATTGTGGCTGCTGGTGCAGCAGGACAAAAAGGGAATGTCATAAGTCTTTGAAAGCTGCCTTGCATCTTTGTGCATATCTCCTCTCTTTATTGAATCTGTTTTTCAAAATTGAATCTGAAATTCCTTCTATAGTCTCCTACATTGAACTGAAACAGTGCAATCAAAACAAAATCTACACCATTTTTGTTTTCATCATTTGGCAAGTGAGAAGATCACCTGAGACTGAGTGCTTTTTTTCAAGCAGTGCAATCTTGAAGCCTGCACTGCTACACACTACAAACAGAAAGGCAACAAACTCTTCAGGCTGCCTGCCCGGACCCCACCCTGTTTTATCTCTCTGCTCCCATCACGCACATGAGTGGCATGAGCTGGATTGTTGCTCCTTGATCAAACAACATGTGCAACAAATTTAACACCAAGCAAACCACGTTTGGCTTAAAGGCATTCTACATTTAGAACTGAAAATAAAGTCCATGTGAACAGGAGAAAATCAAACAAAAGCCACACCCGGGTTACGAGTTGGCGAGGCAACGTCGCAAGAGCGTCAAGACAGCATGTTACCAAGAGCAGATTATCGACTGAGGAAACACAATCAATGAACACTACAGACCTCAAAAGAACTTGAACAAGATCAGTGCATTAAGTCAGTCCGTTCAGTCTTGTTATTCCTTGGAATCTTCTCTGCGTTGCTTGCGGCTCATGCAAGAGCCTGCAATCGCTTAGTCTAAAAGGCTAAAAACTGAAATAAAACAATCATTGATTTTAAAACGCAAGCGAGAAAAACGAACTTGTGCAAAAAAAATCTAAATCAAAAATCGCGTTTCTCTCAGCTGTACAGCGAATGGCTGCGGTCGTAGTGTTTTCTTGCATTTCTCTTCAGATCTCGGACAAGGTCTGCGTGTTCTTTGTCAACCTTTACCGAAAAGCATGAGAAAAGTGACTACTTTGACAAAGCTCTGCAGGCTAAGTCCGACAGGGCGTGTCCCATCACAGGGGCCGAATATCTGGGTCGGGTAATTTGCCAGTGACTCTCTTCGCCCTTACTTCTGGGTTTTCCCATAGAGGGTTGTTTTCTCTCGGTGGTGACAGCAAAGCGACCAATCACTGTCATCGGGAGATAAACAAAAGTGAAAGCTCATAAAGCCCATCGCTTTGGACTCATGCCATGCATTTCTCAGCGTGACGGGCAGGTGTCGAGTCTGTGCTCTGCAGTTGATGTGGCTTGATCTGGATGTTGATCAATCTAATGGAGAGGGGAACAGAGAAACAGCGGTGAGATTAATGCATTTAAACATGGCTGAAAGCTTCACACCTTCCACCAAAACTAAACTAAAAGCTTACCTCGGAGTAGGGTGGAGGGGGTCGGAAGCGGAACTCTTGGATATAAGCGAATAGCGGGCCATCAAAGTTCTCCCGCCCTGACGACACGTCCAGACAGCTCTGCCTCTGATCTTCTGTGACCACCTCTGCATAGGCTGGAGGAGCTGCGTACAGCAAAAGCAAATGTTAATACTGTTACCATTCCAAACACGTTATAGGTTTCACCTTTGCACACAATGTGATCTACATGTCCTCTTTTGGTGTCTTATTCAAAGAAACGTTAAGCAACAAGTTAGAAGACTTCTACAGACTTTCCTATCTGTGTAATCTAAAAAAGTTAGATTCAAATCACATGTCCTCCATCTTCATATATTGCAAACATCCCTTAAAACAAGTGGTGCTAATTGACAACCTAGGAAACGTTCCTTACCTTCAGGCCTCTCAGGGAGGGCCAAGCCTAACCAGCTCATGGTCATGCTGCATTGGCTGCTCACAGAAGATGTACGGCTACCGAAGGGGTGGAGAGGGATGGTGCCAATCACCAGGGGCAGGTTTAAAGACAGGTTCATGGCTCCTGGGATGTCTACATACACCTGATAATAAAAATATTGGTATTTAAAATTAACCATTTCACAAACAGTGCACCTTTGTAAAAAACGTTCCAGCATTTCCAGATCCAAATGCTCCTTCAGATCCCCAAAGCAAACAAACGGTTCTAATATACAACCACAGTGTGCTGTCCTAACCTTTACCTCAATGCCAAAATCTCAGTTGGCCAGGCAGTAATTCATCTTTTCTTAACCATTAAAATACTTGTGTCCAGGATGCTGCGAGCTTAGAGACTGTAGTGTTAGAGTGCTAGACATGAATAGTGCTCATAAACAGCTGTTGAAATAGTATTCTCACTTAAAACAGAGTAGAGATTTGGACCAGGAAACAGTATTTAATAGGTCACAATTTATTGGATTAATTTATTTCAGAATACAAGGAGCCTGCTTAAAACAAGTAGGGATGACCCATTCATTGTACCAGAATATTTTCAATCACAGAAAAAGGCAAGAAAATAACATTATTTATGTATTCACAGCATATCAACAATGCTTTCTTAGAGCTGAGCGAATTAAAATAGTAAACTCAGATCCTGGGTCCTGACTATTACACAGTAATAGATTGGTTTGAGGGGATAATAAGCCATTAACACTCAATGGCCTGAATTTCATCAGATATTTTGGGCTGATCTTCTTATCAGTATGTGCCAGAGAGAACTTGACGTCATCTTATTATCATTCATAGTGCTGCGTGTGTGGAAGAGCAAGAGGGGCTGTCAAGGAAATGATCCTTCAGCTGCTTGAAATCGACATGGAAAACACTCATATAACTGAATTATTTGCATTTTTAAGCTACTGAGATGACCAGCACTTGTAGAGATGATCGGTAAGCTTATGTGGGCCCCATAAAACTTCAAAATCAATACAAACTATAAAAGCACATGACTTACCATGAGTGAGTATTCCACTCTAATGATACTGCAGTCAAGGATGGAGGGAGATACTGGGGGAATCTTCAGCATCTTTCCATTCCATGTCTCCGTCTTGCCAGAAGAAAGCGACTCCCCTCGGATGTTGGCCACCAACTGCTTGATCTCCTTCATCTTCCCTTTGGCAAAGAAGGTCTGTGTTTGGTAAATGGCGGCCTTTGGCACAACCATACGCGAGGAGCAGTTTTCAATTTCAGCAAAGATTTGAATGGACTCCCCTGAGTAAAGACATTATATATGGTTAATGGTACAAAATAGTATCAAGGGGTATTATGTAGGGCTGCAACAACTGATTAAAACTGACAATGATTGATAATTAAAACAAATCTGAAATATATTTGATTATTACCAGTCACAGCACTTTACAGTAGCAAGAAATGCATTTCTATAAGCTGCTGCGGCAAAAGTATACAAAACATGTCCATGTCCAAAACATGAGAATGCATCATATTAAAGTGACCTTTTATCAATTTATTCACCCTCATGTTGTTCCAAACATGTATGTATTTATTTCAGAAGAAGATATTTTATTCAGCAGAAGAAAGAAACTGATGATGACAGAATTTTCATTTCCGGCTGAACTACACCCTTAAGAGCCTTAAACAATTTTATAGTTTAATGTGGCTTTCCCTGTCACATGCTTTTTTCCATTTGATTAATAATATATATATATATATATAAATCAACAGATTAAACGATAATCAAAATAATCATTATTTGCAGCTCTAGTATCATGTAAAAGTATAGTGGGGTCCAAATGTATACTGAAAATGTTAACTGCCAGAAGATTTACCTGGAGTATAACCCTTCCGTTCAATTTTGGCACTTAAGGAGATTGGACCTGAGGTGCAAAACCAGCAGCATAGCGTCTTTTCTTTAGTTCCTGCCTGGGGAGACTGTGCAAAGTAGAATAACAACACTTTAAAATGCAAGAAACTTGACTGGTCATTTTTCAACACTGCATTGATGAATCAGTGATAAATCAAGGGATACAGATGATGCAAACACTCACCAGCAGAAGAGGAGTGTTGATGTCAATGTGTTCAAAGACAGTGAACTCTTTCTTGGTCTTCATGGGCAGAAGCCACGGCCTGTGCAGCTCAGCCTTCACCCAATAGCGCACACTGCCATGCTTTCCTTCGAACGAGGTAGCCAGAGGTCTGCATGTGCGTGAAACAGAGAACATTTGAATAAGAATTACAATATACAGTTCAAGTGAATAATTTTACCTGGGGCCATATCTGACCGACACTCACGTTTGTGGAAGCTCAAAGCTGAATGCATACTCATGTCTTCCTGAATGAATAGTGGTGAGTCCCTCCTCAGAGTTATCATCATCTGAAACAGAAGAGAATAATATTCCAAATATACCTTACCTGCCAAAGCATTGATCATCTTCTTGTTTACTACATTATCTAATTTATTCAAACACATACACTTCTGCTAAATGCATAAATGTAAACACTTTAATAAAACAACAGTTGACTGATTCTCATACACCCCAGCAAATCATGATATGCATCAATATTATGTTGTACCCAAGAATTATGAGTGTTTCATCACAAGTATAATGATTGCACTTTATGCACAGGTGTATTCAGTTTCAGTATTCATTCTGAATGGGAGAGAGAACTACTCATAAGATCCACTGCAGTTCACGTGAAACCTAAGGTAAATGTGAAACGAAATTCCAATGTTAAATAATTTGTTTGTGTAACACTAAAAAACACCGGCGACTTTCGTTTCGCCAGCTAAGCACTCAGCTTAGCGGAGCCATGGTAAACAGGCACGGAGCTGTCAATCAAGGGCTGACTCCAGCAAGAGAAGACCGGCCTAAACCGGAGCCGGCTGCTTCCCCGTGCAGGCGCGCTCATTACGCATTCAGTGTGCGGCAGCCTCCCATTGAATCTACGCGTGTGCTGTGGCGTGGACCTCAAGAGTATTCTCCCATTCAGCAAAACACGTGAGAGAAATATGCCAAAAAACACACACCAAAAATCACAAACGACAGAAAACCGACCAGTTTCAATAACAAATGGACTTTTATTGTAACCAATCACTCATACAGAAGCAGCAAAGACAATTAGATATGACTTAGATTAGAATTTTACATGGGAATGAAATTACAACACGCATGCAACTAACAAGGTCATAACATGCACTATTTGATTTGTATACAAAGAGTTTCAACATTAGGCAAATATTGACTAGCTTTCCTGTAGTAGAAGCCACCTCAGGCTAACAAAAACTTCTCAATAAAAATGAATATGTAAAAGTTATTATACAATGTGGATGTATTAATGTCACGTTTACCACTGGGTTAAGCAACCGTTCGCACTTGTACATTTTTAACCCTGTGTTTTGATGCTAACGTTACAGTGTGGAACGATGCGGTGGTAGAACGTAACAGCAAGTTGTTTGGCAACAGACGACCAATAAACTGCCTCGGTGCTTAGCTCATTAAATATTCATGAGCTCCGTGCAGTTGCAGAAACTGGAGCGCGCTGTATGAGAAAAGTAAAAATGTCAAACAACTGCGTGAACTGGAGTGAAAAGATAGTTTTTTTTTTGCTTTTGTGCGTTAAAAAGTGACTTCAGTCAGAACGGACAAACTAATTATAGAAACTTCTACGGAAGGACCAGCAGTTATCAAAACAGCTCATGAGAAGTTTTCGTCATAAATATGCAAAGGGTTTATAAATGTACAGTGCGAAACGAGATAACCCACGAATATATTTACTCAGAATTTTAGAAAGGCCATGAGTTAACAATTTCAAGTGTGAAGAGTCCAACAGTATATGCAAAAAAAAAAAAAAAAAGCAAAGAGGTTGTCAGTCAGCCTTAACAACTGAATATTGGACCACTGAATGCATTTAAATTTAGCTAAAGTATGTGCATAGGTTGCATACTACAGCCATGGTGCAAAGTTGCTGCTGTGCTGTTTTTCTCACTTTCCGCAAAAGCATGATGTCATAGAAGACACGTTGACGATTCCACCAATCAGAGACAAGAACGGCTAGACACTGCATCAAAACAGGATTGAACCGCTTCGAACAATGGGTGGAAACTTAAGATATTATGCCGAAAGATCTGTCATTACTGTTTTTAATATGTGATCTTATATAGAATGCATGGACGTATTTTTTCCGAAATAAATAAATAGATTGAACACCGAAACGAATCTTGATTTTAATAAGGCTGTAGCATGAGATGAGCAAACTGTGTGGTCACCATTCATTCAAGCTACTTCACTGACACCTGAAAGAATCCTGAAGTATAGTCAGAATAGAGAAATGTGCTGAATATCACGCATTTAGCTGATTTAAACGGGATAGTGAAAATGCGGCATCCAGGTCTATTGCCTATTCATTATTTCTAATGAATGATGAGTCTGTCATGTAATGTTCCATGTGTATATGGTGTATTTTTTTCGGTTTGATTAAGCCAATAGATTTTAACAAGTGAATACATAAATACAATAGAAAAGGAAAAGAAAGATATATGCATGCACACAATAGTGTCTACAGGTCCACCGGTCAACAAGTACTGTGCAGCATCCAAAGCATGTCATGTCATCCTGGACCACTGAGCAACCCACCAGTACATTCAACTGCTCTTTTCTGAACAAATCTACACTGAGAGCTTGTTTGATCTGTATGCTTACCTCTTTCATGGCCAATAAGGATGTCTCTATGATTCAGATATTCCACTTCTTCTGTGTAATTTTGAGTGTAGGCAGTGTTGGATCCAGCATTTCGTGATTCTGTCCAACGAACTTTTGCGAATCCTTTTGCATGTATTTTAAGTGACTTCACACGAATCTCCCCGCTGACTTCAATAATAACTCTTCCTGAGACGGAGTCCCCGCTGGAGAAGACAGGGACATTGCTGTCATTTAGACAGTCGTAGCTTACAATGAAGCTCTTCACCTTTCCTAGCACCATGGTGGCAAGAAAATAAAATGTACAAAGTTCTGTAGACAAAACCACAAAGCAAAATCTATGAAAATAATCTCTTATGAAAAAAAGCGAGAGTTAACACTGGATAGTGTCATTGAGATGCGAGAGCTGAATAACAGCAAAAGATGCTGTTATCGCGTCTCGGTGAAGGCTTGATGGTCTGCAATGAAAGACAGCGAAATTTGGCCACCGGCTCACTTTAAGCGCTGCTCTTGTGAAAAACAAGTTAGTGCGCATGCGCACGGCTGCTATACGTCCCCCTTCTTCCGCTCGCTTTTTGTGCAGTTCTTTGACCGGGACTCAGGAGACAAATAACAGAGAACAGCTGATCAGTGTATTAAAAGAATACGTGGAAGTCTAGACATTTTTCCCCCCACACACGTTTAGGTAGAGCCCCACATTAATATTTGAACAGTTTGGTTATAGAGTAACATGTTATAGATTGTTAAGTGAATTTGGGCTCTGGTTACTCTCAGTTATATGCACAAAAGGAACATTTTTTAGAGCTGAGTCCCCCCCCCAACATATTGGGACTCAAACAATACAATTGATTTTAGTCAACATATTGTTTTACCGGTTGCACCTGAATGCAAAAATGGTTTTAGATGCAGATAAAGAGATCAATATTGCTCACGGCATGCTGCCATGTTACATTTTGATAAAGATGGTGATTTGATGCCAATTGCACCAGTTTTTATATCATAATATATGTCACTTGAACTGAGTATTTGTAGGAACCTCCTTTTTAGTATTTTTTTCCCCAGATATTAGGCAAACTCACTCAGTATCCTTTCCCCACATTTTCATATTTCTCTATTCTTAATTTCATATCTTGTTTCTATATGTCATGATTCCTGTTTAAATGGGTTTGTGTTAAACGTTGTGTAAATTCTCTTTTCCAATGTATATGCACTTCCTCTGATGGCACAAGGATCAGTATGAGGCTATAGAGGATTTTCGTAATTTCACTTGCATTTATCTGCTATAGATGTACAGTATGGTTCAGTTATGAAAACGTATGCGCCACCCAGCGGCTGCACAAACTCTTGTGTCTTGCTTTAGTCGCGCGTGTGTGAACGAGTTACGCTGGTTTCTGCTGCCCTCTAGGGGTTTGTTGGAGAACAGTAATTAAAAAATTTCCTGTGTGCAGTGGAGTTGAAGGTGGAGATATTTGTTCAAATTCTCATTTGAATTTACCTAAAGCGAAACAGACACATCCTCACCTAGTAAAATGCAAGACGTTTTGATATTAAGATGTTTGAGAGTTTCAAGTTTAGTTTATTTTAAAACTTGGACTTAACATGTACGACAAAGATTTAAGCAGGGGGTTAAGGTAGGCTATTTGGTGTCTGGTGATTTGTGATGTAGTAGTTTCTCTTGGGATTATTTGTGAGAATTTTAATCCAGTACTGTAGCACAGTGGAGCAATCCTCTTTTATTTTCATAGATATTTGTTCAGACTTGTTACAGTCTTACTTGAAAATAATGATCATAACTTTGGTAAAGAATCTCATACAAACAGTGGTTACAGTCGATAGATTATTTCATTATGGACGGAGGTTAAAAGCACAAACAGATAAGCTGCAATATGTTCTGAAAAGAACACAGTATCAATAAAACTGCTGTAATATCATCAAAATAAGTTTTAGTAAGAGTGATTAGAGTTTATAAGGCACAATGTAATAGGCACCTGAGCTTGAAGGCATGCAGATAAATTCATGAAGTTCTCATTGACACAGCACAAGTCTGGCTGGTAAAGGACACTAATAAGGCACTTTTGGAGAGGATTCTTTAGTGCTTTGGATCATAAACTGGTGCGGATGGAAACCAGGCTGGGTGGCATGTGGATTTGGATAGACCCCTGCAGCAGCTCCTGAGTGGGGCAGCACTGTAGGGTCATAAAGTCCTGCAGGTGGAGGAGGTAGTTCACCAGGATGGTTAGGCTGAGGTGGTGGATATGACTGGAATCCTCCAGGTGGGCCTTGCCAGGGAGGACACTGTTGATCAGTTGGAAGAATAACCACAGGAAATCTGACTTCTGGGTCTGAGGCAAAAGACACATCCAGATACACCTGACAGTGTATGGAATAGTTCAAGTGATTTGATCATTTTTGGGTATTAATTAAAAAAATTACGATACTAAGGAAGACTAAATAGCACCTTGAGTTCATACTGCACTTTTAGAATTCTGCAGTTTTCAATGGTGACAGTCAGGTCACGTGGAAGCTTCATGTTAACTATGAATTTAGACTTTTCTCCAGAAGGGATGCGATCTCTAGTCTCTTCGATTATGTATTTTAATCCTCTTTTATTTCTTATGCCAGCGATGAACGTCTGCTGCTGCTTGAGGCTGTACTTTAGCTTGACGTCACGAGATGAAGAGTTGTCAATGTCGACAAAAACTCTGATTGTTTCACCTGCATCAATAATAAGAAAGTAGAGATAACATACATCAATAATAAAATTGCTGCTTTGACATTGCAGGCTAGTGTCTTCAGTTTAGGCGGCTTTGACAGTTGCGCTTGAGAGCTATGACTACATCACCTTGCATATAGCCAGTTTTGTCTGTTGATACAGTGAGTGACATTTTTCCTGAGCTGAATAGTTTCATCCTTTTGTCTTGTGTGCCAGATTGTGGTTGCTGTATGAAACAAACAAACATATTTAAATAACTAAACTAATATCACATTCAAATTCCTCTATAGGTCACAAGCAAATCTCATTACTTGTGTTCTGATGACAGTAAAGCAGTTACATCATCTCTTTATTTATGTGAATCAATAGATAAGTGCCTAAGAATCAAATTATAATGAATTCATGTTATATTATAGAATTATAATTCATACCAGTAAATGATCATTGGTCGCATCATTTCTGGGCACAAAGGATAATTCCAGATGTTTAAAAGATGTTGGCTTCAGTGGCCTCTTCAGTTTTACCATCAAGACATACTTCACCCAGCCATGAATGTATGTAAAAGATGGAGGCATATTTCTGAAATTAGGGATTAAAATAGTGTCTCACAAATGACTGAAAAGTGCTGTAGTGCATTATGTGGTCATGTATGCAATACATATATATTAGAAAATAAGTCCATTGTCACATGCATAATAATAGGTTTTTAATGTATTCAGAATAACAATTAGCACATGTACAATTTATAGATTTTTTAAAATTACATTTAATGTTTATAATTTAGAATAATAAGCAAATAATATGGTTTTATTAAAGCAAATGTTTAAAAATATGCAAACAATATGACTGGCCCTTTTTTAATATTTGTTTTAGAGGATGGTGATGATTTGGCGGTTACGTTTTGCTTTTAATATCATAACATACTGATGTTCTGTACATTGAGTCTATGGGGTGTTAATCACATATTGTTATTAGTTCACTGTTTGCACATATTTACACAATAAAGAACAAATGTCATTGAAGATGTATGTTGAAAGAGAGGAATTCTTCAATAGTATCACTGACTGTTGAGGAAGCTGAAATCTGAATAGAAAAATATGCCTTCCTGGCCTAATCACTGATCCATCTGAGGAACATAAGGCATTAGTACAGCATGAGTTAATAGAGAGTTGTAATGAAACTTCGCTGGTCTACTGTTAGCAAACAATCTTTTCAGGATTCATATGACTTATATGTCTGAAAGGTATATGAGAACTCTTACTTACAGGTTTCTCCGCTTACAAGAGTGGTATTCCTTTGTTCTTGTCCTGTAGACTTCACAGCAAGAAATGTATTTTATCCATTATTATTCTTCATTATTTCTTTATTCTTTATTGCAAACATCTATTTTTCAAACATAATCTGTCCCGACTTTGATTTGTAAGTTTACTGTTGGCATTTATTTTCCATAATACATATGTGTATTATTTTATTTATATAATAATTTAAACACTAATACTATACTAATGATACTAGTAATTACATTTTTAATATATTTTATAGATATTTATGTATATTTTGTACAATGTCACCTTTCTTTGAGCTCTCTTGAATGAAGTATTGCTTTAGTTTGAAATATCTCTCACGGTCACGGTAGGTTCTTTCATCATCGCCTGATTTTTCAGTCCAGCGTACATTTGCGTCCCCTGTCAGCTTCACAACAAAACTGTCCACTTTTATTTCTTTGGTTACTTCCAAAACAACTCGTCCCTCTACAATATCCTCACTAGTAAGTATTGCTTTCATTAATTGGGTCATAACGAAGACTGAGCTCTTTGATGCAGCCTGACATTTTTAATTTTAAATTTTTTGTATGTACGTATGTACACTAGACTAAATATTCAAAGACAACTACATGCTGGTTCTTCCTGTTCTCATGAGTGAAGCAGGAATGACAAAGGTCACTCAAAAAAAAAATATTCTTGAGGGAGTGGCACTTCATACACCTGCCTGGTCAGCGCTGATCTTTCAGTTCAGAGTTCACAGTGATGGATGTGTCCTGATTGGCCGGGGGACACTGCTTGTTTACCACAACAGAAGATGAATCTTATCTTTCATAAGGCTGTAGCAAGAGATGAGCAAAACATTTATACAAAAAAAGTAAGATTATGCATACACACAATAGTGTTTACAGGTTCACTTGTCAGCTTGAAGTGCAGCATTTAGTATGTCATCCTGGACAACTGAGCATCACACTAATTATTACTTGTATGCTTACCTTTTTAATGGCCAATAATGATGTCTTCATGATTCAGATATTCCTGATTCCTGACTTCTGTAATCGTGAGTGTAGATATGCGTATCCAGCATTTCTTGATTCTAGTCAATCAACTTGCAAATATTTTTTTTTAAATCACCATGAAATAAGAATGAGCAATTATTTTTTTATGAAATGTTGACGTTTTTATTACAAATGAATTATCCATGCACATAATTTTATTTACGTATTAATGTATTTATTTATTTATTTTGTCCTCATAATCTTTAATAAAAAAATATTAACATTCCCACCGCTCATATCTTTTCTGATGACGTGTGCACTGGAGTGAAGGTTGGGCAATAAAGTTGTCCAAAGACCAGATGAGTTTCAATCACTCACCTCCAGCAACCTGGTACTCGCTTGAAATGATCGTTTATTTAGTTTGCAGTGGCCACTTTCCACATTTCAATCAATTCCTAATGGACAAAAATCAATTTATATCCTACAATTTTTTTTCTTGTGTAAAAAGCTTTTTTGTTCAGAAATATGTCACA